AAAGTTTTATTCAGGGAATTTCACATCAAGGTCACCTTAGTTCCTCTGAAGAGCTGGAGTCAAAATACATCTTCAAAAGATTCATCTTCAGGTTAGCCCTCCTTGACACAACTGATGCTTAATCCACAGTTATCAGCCCACAATTCTTTTATTTTGCCTTCTTTTATCTCCATTTCAATATGAATATACTGATGAAATTTTCAATATTCTTCACCAAGAATCTTTGGATATAATTTCTTTAACCACTTTACCCGGGGGTCATTTTAAAATTAGGTGTATCTGCCTGGTTCTCAATTTGACACACTGTCTCTCTAAACATGAATGAGTTCAAATCATATTTATTCCTAAGCTATCATACTCAAGTACACTACAAAGCAGTGGAATATGCCAAAAGTTAAGGTAAAACATTAAATTATTAGGTATTTCATACCTTTGGCTAGTTTTTGATCTCTGAGTGAAGATAACATACTCTATGTCCTGGCACTGTTCCTCGGAAACACAGGGATCACATATTTAATTTTAAATGTTCTAATAGCCACATTTTAAAAAGTTTAAAAAAAAACCTGAAATGTACTTTAATGATTTTAATCTAGTGTAATCAAAAATTATTTAAACAGGTTATCTAAGATTAAAATATTGAGTTTTTACTTTGTTTTTTTTAACTAAGTCTTTGAAATCTGGTGTGTATTTTACACTTAAAGCACATCTCAGTTTGGACTAGCCATATTTCAATGCTTAATAGCCACATATGGCTAGTGGCTATCATCTCGGACAGGACAGCGTTTATACTCTGGGAAGACACAAGCAAATACTTGCTCTGCAGCAGAACACAGATATTTTCCAAGAAAAGAATTTTTCTGACCTATTTCTGAAACCCAGAGAGTGTCTCTAATACTTTATATTTTATTGACTTTCCTATTGTAACTGCCCAGAGGGCTCTCCTTATCCACTGTCTGGACCTGGCTGAGTTATCAAGACAGGGCAATTGTGAGTAATTCACACGGAGCTGGCAGTATGGGAGACTAAAGTTTTATTATTACTCAAATCAGTCTCCTTGAGAATTTGGAAACCAAAGGTTTTTTTTTTTTGGTGTTGTTGTTGTTTGTTTTTGTTTGTTTTTTAGACAAAGTTTCACTCTTCTTGCCCAAGTTGGAGTGCAGTGGTGCCATCTGGGCTCACCTCAACCTCTGCCTCCCGGGTCGAACAGACTCTCCTGCCTCAGTCTCCCAAATAGTTGGGATTATAGGTGCGTGCCACCACATCCAGCTAATTTTGTATTTTTGGTAGAGAATGTGTTTCTCCATGTTGGTCAGGCTGTTCTTCAACTCCTGGCCTCAGGTGATCTACCCACCTCGGCCTCCCAAAGTGCTGGGATTACAGGCGTGAGCAACCGTGCCTAATGGGGACCAAAGTTTTTGCGGATAATTTGGTCAGAAGGAGACCAGTGAGTCAGAAGTGCTGGTTGGATCAGAGATGAAATCATAGGGAGTGTAAGCAGTCCTTGTGTTCTAAATCAGTTCCTGGGAGTGGTGGGGTGGGGGGACACAAGACCAGATAATCCAGTTTATCTATCTGGGTGATGTCAGCTGATCCATTCAGTCCAGGGTCTGCAAAATAGCTCAAGCATTGATCTTAGCTTTTAAAATAGTGATTTTATCCCCAGGAGCAATTTGAGGAGGTTTAGAGTCTTGTAGCCTCCAGCTGTATGACTCCTAAATCATAATTTATAATCTTGTGGCTAATTTGTTAGTCCTGCAAAAGCAGTCTGGTCGCCAGGCAGAAAGGGGATTTGTTTTTCAAAGGGCTGCAATCATTTTTGTTTCGAAGCTAAACTGAGTTCCTCCCAAAGTTAGTTAATCCCAAGCTCAGGAATCAATGAGGACAGCTTAAAGGTAAGAAGCAAGATGGAGTTGGTTAGATCAGATCACTGTAATAATTTTCTCAGGGTTTTTGTAAAGGCAGTTTCACTATCCACTTCACCTCACATCAGGCCTCTGACTAGAGGATTCCAACAAAACTTAGGCCAGGCCACCACCATGTCTCCCTGTCCACCCTGAAGCAGTCCAATTTCTGAAACAAAGGAAACTATATATGATAGTATAAAACTATATATGCGAAGGAAATTATCTATGATAATCCATTCTAAGGTTATCTTATTGATTAGAAGATATTAAAGTATGGGTTGACACTGCCTGGCAATATCTGCTGGTAGTATGAATTTGGTCAGTTCCCGAGACTGTAATTCCTGAGACTGAGCCTCCATTTCTGCAATGGAGATAGTAAGACAATTTGCATTACAGTGCTGAAGAATCTGACATAAATGGTAAATAAAAAAATAAAAAGAATTTTACATAATAATTCAGATCAACCACTTCACGTGGTACTTGACCCCTGGAAAACTCAGTACTTCTAATTCATAGGGTCCTCCTGCAGAGATGTATTTGAATAGAGTCTTAGGATGATGAGGAAGGCCACATATAATTTGAAAAAGCATGGCCAGTGATCTGAGTCAGATTTATCATGAAACTAATGAAACTCAAGTGTCTGGAACTGTACTTCCAACGTGCTCAGAGGGACCCTACAAATGTGTTACTTTCTCTCTCTTTTTGAAATCAGTGTTAGCATATTTTAATCACAGATGGTTATGACTATTATTTATTTCAACTCAATCCTTCTTTCTGTTAAAATTCACCATTGTCTGATTATGTTGGAATGCTGATGAAAATATTTGAAATTTGACTAAGAGAAAAAATTCAGCTGAAGATGTATGTAGTATGGGGATAATAAGTTTATGTGATTTGCATATGTGTTCATGTGTGGTTCATTCCTTACTGGTTAACATGATGTAAGAATGGCTTCAAGGAATGTTCCTACTGCTCACTGGAGGAACTCACCTAAATTCCTGGCAAGATGCAGGTCTAGATAACATGTTATGACGTCTAAGTATTCAAAACACCTTCCCAGCACTGAATGTGAGTATCTAGGGGAGGGTACAAATGTATGGAGCCAGAAGCTTGTCTGGAAATAATTCTTACAAAGTTTACAACTTATATGTGAAAGGAGGTTGACAGAGGATTTTCCAAATTTGAAAACAATCCTAAAAACTTACTTGACATTATCAATATGTTTTGAAATTGAAACTCTTCTAAGTTATCAGGAGAATAAATTATCATCAGCTACTCTGGAGGAACAATGGAATTCTCTTTCTGTTACCTATAGACAATATTACAAATAATTTCGATCTGAAGATGGAATCAGTATTTAGTCAAAACTACAGGAAAATACACATTGTAGTGTCACATTCAGGAGTTAATAAAACATGCTATTTTCAGAAATTTGTGATGGTCATGTGCTTTTACAAAATTGGAATTTGATTTTTTAAATTATAAATTAAGATTTATTGTCTACACTACTTTTGCACTTTTAGTTTTATATTATAGTTTTTAATGGTTAAGAAGTTGTAAAAGCTTTGAGCACCAGGAAACCTTGATCTATCCCATCAGTTAAATATACTAATATTTGGAAATTTTAAGAAATTAGCATTTAAATAAATTTTCAAATATTAAGACTACATGGATAAAAGAGTTTTGCGGTTCCTTACCCTTCATTATCTCAAGGCCCCCAGATTTTAAGCAATAGCTGCATAATCTTTGGTTGATTATAGGCAAATCTTGTATATTTGTTATATAAACCTATTTAGTGTACTTCGGGCAGTGTGTACTGAGGCCTCCGCCTGAGCTGACTCCACTTCCAGCATACCAATTCCAATACTGGATGTTGGAGTCAGACGTTAATGTTGTGGGACTTTAGAAAACTATATGAACTTTGACCTGATGACTTAATGATACTGTAATCAGACCTAAAACTGTCAGGTGAATTAAAAGCAGTGATGGCACTACCAGGAGCCTGTTTTATTCAAAACGTTTGTGTACACAAACCTGAGACAAGACACCTAATATTTAACAAGGTAAGTCTTGAATCAATTGTTTTGTATAAATACGACCCTTCCAAATGCAAAGGCTGTAGGTAAATTTGCCTGCAGTGTTACTGAAAACTTCTGTAGTTTTCTCTAATACACCTTTAAAGCCTTATCATATTCTGCGCATTGAGATGGACAACCGAATTGGTTACAACTGTTTAAGTGAAATTTTAAGTGGCTCTGAAAAGAGCCTTTTCAATTAGATGGAAATGGGCAGATTTACGCCCTTTCCCCACGGATGCGACGTGCCAATTGGATGTCTTTGGGCATGATAGTGACGCGTTTAGCGTGAATAGCACACAGGTTGGTGTCTTCGAAGAGCCCCACAAGGTAGGCCTCGCAGGCCTCCTGCAGCGCCATCACCGCAGAGCTCTGGAAGCGCAGGTCGGTCTTGAAATCCTGGGCGATTTCTCTCACGAGGCGCTGGAACGGCAGCTTCCGGATTAGTAGCTCGGTGGACTTCTGGTAGCGGCGAATTTCGCGCAGAGCGACGGTGCCAGGCCGGTAACGATGCGGCTTCTTCACTCCGCCGGTGGCAGGAGCGCTCTTGCGGGCCGCCTTGGTGGCCAGCTGCTTACGTGGCGCTTTGCCGCCAGTGGACTTCCGAGCTGTCTGCTTCGTACGAGCCATTTGCAACGTAAACGGGCTCAAAAATGCAGTAATAGGAGATGAAACGGCCTTTAAATAGCGTTAGAAACATTCTGATTGGTCCTGTGATATTTCAAAAGTCCCGCGCGATAAAATCATTGGCTGAAGAGTGGCCCTCACTGATTGGCTCATTGCTAGACAATCTTATTGGATGAATTGTCCACAGCCCGTCTGGTCCTTTTTCAGTTATCTGAAGCGATATTATCTTAAATTCTAGTTCATCCAGTACCTAAAAACAGTGTGCATAACAAAGCATCTAAGGATTGTTAAAATGTAAATTCTGACTCGGTAAGTTTGAGTCGGACTTGAAATTCTGCATTTCTGACCGTCTCGCAAGTTATCAATGCTGGTGAATAGTCACTACCAGAAACGTTTATTGACTCGTTTGAAAATGCTTGAATTCAGAGAATGAAAAGTCTACGTTACTTAGTTACTAGCCAACAGCAAGTGTCCTTGCCCTTTGTTATCTAAGTCCAAGTCACATTCCCACCCTGCCTGTTCTCAAATTGTCTTTTGGTTTGCTCTGAGTTTCACTTTGTATACTCTACAGTGTAGTTTCTTATGGTATTATTTTCTCGAAACTTTTTAATACCAGTAGTCTGGGGACGGTGGCTCACGCCTGTAATCCCAATATTTTTGGAGGGCCATGGAACAATGGGAGGAGTTCAAGACAACCCTGACATGGTGAAACCCCGTCTCAAATAAAAATACAAAATTTAGCTGGGCGTGATAGCAGGCGCCTATAATCCTAGCTACCCAATGAGGCTGAGGCATGAGAATTGCCTCCGAGAGGCGGAAATTGCAGAGCCGATTTCTTGCCGCTTCACTCCAGCCTGGGTGACGGAACAAAACAGTCTCAAAATAAACCAAACGAAACCAAACCCAAAAAATACCAAGTAAGATACCATCCTTTTTCGTGAAACTGCGGATGGCTCTGAAAAAAATCCGTTTCAAGTGTAAGGTACGTTTTCTGGTTTGAGATAACTTTACTTGCCCTCATCCTTGGTAGCTGTTTTTTGGAGCAACAGCACGGCCTGAAAATTGGCCAGGACACAGCCCTGAGTGATAATGACCCTGCCCAGCAGCTTGTTAAGCTGCCGGTCCCTGCAGATGGCCACCTGCAGGTAGCGCGTGGTGATGCGGGTCTGGTTTTCACGTACGGCGTTGCCCGCCAGCTCCAGGATCTCGGCGGCCAGGTACTCCAGGTACACCGGCGCGCCGGCTCCAACCCGCTACGAGGAATTGCCCTTTCGAAAAAGACGACGGACTCTCCCCTACTGGAAACTGCAAGCTCGCTGGCGAGAAACAAGTCGCTGCTTTAGCTCAAGTTTTGTCTCCCTGTTTCCCACGTACAGACATAGCAACCTTTGCAAACAGTACAAAACTGTGAAAAACAAGCAAAATAATGTTAGCTCCTGAACAAATCCTTTTATACAAAGTGGAAGGCTGCAATAGGAAGCTATCCTATTGGTCAGTTATGTTCGTTTCAGTGTCCGTTAGAAAAAGAGTACGTAATTTCCGTATTTGCATAAACCCCACCCCTCTGTGAAATTGCTTCTTATGTCCAATCAGAAGTGACAAGTCTTAAACCATCATTTGAATTTCAGGACTATAAATATGTGGGCTCTGAACCATTCTCTCTACTACTCTGTCCTGGAGCGTGCTGTTAGCTTTTCTCTTCTGCTTAAGAAAAGCAATGCCTGAACCCTCTAAATCTGCTCCAGCTCCTAAAAAGGGCTCTAAGAAAGCCATCACTAAGGCGCAGAAGAAGGATGGTAAGAAGCGTAAGCGCAGCCGCAAGGAGAGCTACTCCATCTATGTATACAAGGTGCTGAAGCAGGTCCACCCCGACACCGGCATCTCATCCAAGGCTATGGGCATCATGAACTCCTTCGTCAACGACATCTTCGAGCGCATCGCCGGCGAGGCTTCCCGCCTGGCGCATTACAACAAGCGCTCGACCATCACCTCCAGGGAGATCCAGACGGCCGTGCGCCTGCTGCTGCCCGGAGAACTGGCCAAGCACGCCGTGTCCGAGGGCACTAAGGCGGTCACCAAGTACACCAGCTCCAAATAAGTGCTTGTGTAGGCACTTCCAAATTCAAAGGCTCTTTTCAGAGCCACCTACTTTGTCGAAAAGAGAGCTATAACCATAACCCCTGTTGGAGTGGTGCTACTGCTGTTCTGTTTCAGTTCTACAGGATCAACTGGAAAGTTGGCGAAGGCAAGTTGTAGGGCCAAGGTTAAATTGGACAGGGTCAGGCACGGAGGCACAATCCTTTAACCCCAGCACTTGAGGTCAAGAGTTTGAAACCAGCCTGACCAACATGGTAAAACTCCGTCTCTACTAAAAACAACGAACGTTAGCCAGGCGTGATGGCGTACGCCTGTAATCCCAGCCACTCGGGAGGCTGAGGCAGGAGAATCGCTTAAACCCAGGAGGCGGAGATTGCAGTAAACCGAGATCGAGCTACTGCACTCTAGTCTGGGAAAGAGACACTTGGAGGGTCCTTCGGCTTTAAGGAATACGCACCCCGAATAAGGCTTTATCTTCATTTAACAAACTTTGTTTACCCTTGGTAAGCCTTCGGGTAGACTAATTCCTTTCATACGGTCACTGCTCCCTGCCTGTACTAGCACAGGAAACTAATTTCCTTCCTGAATAAGGAAGCAGATAATGGAATTCAGGGTACAGTGTTTCTGTGGAGGTCATTAGTCGTTAACCCCTTGTGAGATACCGGGGAGGGGGACAGAAAAGTCTAAGCGATAAGAGAGCATATTCTCCTGCAGCTTGCCTTCGCTGTAAATTCTTAATCGAAGTCTGATTTCCCGGCCTCCTGTATGGGGTATATTTCCAGCTCTACAAAATGAAATTGTAGTGGTTTTCCGTTATTATTGTTTTTTTGTTTGCTTATTTTGAGACAGAGTCTCGCTCTCTGTTCAGGCTGGAGTGCAGTGGTGCGCTCGGCTCATTGCACCCTCTGCCTCCCGGATTCAAGCGATTCTCCTTCCTCAGTCTCCGGAGTAGCTGGGACTACAGGCTCGCGCAAACACGCCCAGCTAAATTTTTAGCAGAGAAAGGGTTTCACCATGTTGGCCAGGCTGGTCTCCATCTCCTGACCTCGTGATCCGCCCACCTTGGCCTCCCAAAGTGCTGAGATTACAGGCGTGAGCCACCGCGCCCGGCCCTTCCCTTATAATTGTTTATCAATGACAACAGCTTATGTAGTGTGCGTATTTCATGCATCCCAGAAATCAAGATTTCCATTTCCTAGGCCGCTTAACTTTCAAATTTCCAGCTCTGCGAGAGACAAAGGGGTTTAAATTTTGTGCGCTTCCACATCTGGCGCCACTGCAAATCTTACTAGGAGGGCCCTACTTGGAGAGGGAAACTTTTTTCGAGGAATCTGGGATGCCAAAAACAATACAGCTACAAAAAGGTAGGAAGGGCACTGGTTGAGGAGGAGGAGTCAATGGGCCACCCCTGAGTCTGGAGCTTGGGGAAGAAATGGAAGAAGAAAAGACACCTGTTGACTGCTCACTAAGTAGGAGTGGGTGGGGGAATCAGAGGGGAGTATTCTGAGGGAATTTATGGGCGTTATATGTAGGTAACATTCAGCAGTGTCTTTGGATGAAGAAATAAAGAAATAAATGAAGAAATAAAGTTTCTCAAACAGTTTTTGTTTTTGTTTTGAGACAGGATCTTGCTGTTGCCCAGGTGCCGTCATAGCTCACTGTAGTCTCGACTTCCTCAGCTCAACCGATCCTCTTACCTCAGTCCCTTGAGTAGCAGGAACTATAGAAACGCGCTGCCACATCTGGTTAATTTTTTCACCTTTTGTGGAGACAAAGGGTCTTCCTATGTTGCCCAGGCTGCTCTTGAGCTACTGGACTCAAACTATCCTCCGGCCTTGGCCTCCCAAAGTGCTGGGATGACAGGAATGAGTCACGACGCCCGGCCCAGGTTTAATTTTTAAGAATGTTTTAGGGCCAGGCGCGGTGACTCACACCTGTAATCCCAGCACTTTGGGAGGCTGGGGGTGGGGGTGGGAGAACGTGGATCACAAGGTCAGGAGTTCAAGACCAGCCTGGCCAACCCTGTGAAATCCCGTCTGAAGTACAAAAAAATACAAAAATTACCTTGGCTTGGTAGTAGGCGCTTGCAATCCCAGCTACTTGTGAGGCTGAAGCAGAGAACTGCTTAAACCCTGCAGGCAGACGTTGCAGAGAGCCGAGATCATGTCACTGCACTCCAGCCTGGGCTACAGAGCGAGACTCCATCTCAAAAAAAGATAATGTTTTAAAACAGTTTCTCAGCCGAGCGTGGTGCAGCTTATGCTTGTAATCCCTGCACTTTAGGAGGCCAAGGTGGGAGGATTACTTGAGCCTAGGAGTCCAAGAGCAGTCTAGGCTACTAAGTGAGACCTTGTCTCCACAAAAAAATTTAAATGTTAACCCAGGTGTGGTGGCACATTTCTGTAGTTCCAGCTACTAGGGAGACTGAGGTGGGAGGATCACTTGAGCCTGAAAGGCAGAGATTGCAGCGAGCTGTGATGCCGCCACTGCACTCCAGCCTGGGTGAGGAGCTAGACCCTGTCTCAAAAAAAAAAAAAAAAAAATCTGGATGTCACACAGACTCTCAGTGAACAACTGTATGTGAAGCACTTCCCATCCTAGTACTGTATATGCAAACTATCGTTGTGAAAGAGACGCTGGCTTTAAAATCAATGATTTTTTTTTTAATTACAAAACAAACACCTTCGCCCAAAATATTAATAAGAAATTGAGACTGCATTTTAAGAAACTGATATTTAGGATCTTTCCCTGGAGAAGTGAGACCTGATAATATTAGGATTTTCAAAATGAACTTTTGAGCTAGGTGTGGTGCCTCACGTCTGTAAATCCCAGCACTTTGGGAGGCTGAGGCAGGTGGATCTCTTGAGCTCAGCAGTTCAAGACCAGCCTGGGAAACAGGGTGAAAATCCTGTCTCTACAAAAAGATACTAAAAATTAGCTGGGCGTGGCGGTGTAGGCCTATAGTTCCAGCTACTAAGGACGCCAAGGTGGGATAATCGGTTGAGCCTGGGAGGCAGAGGTTGCAGCAAGCCAGGACAGTGCCACTGCACTCCAGCCTGAGCAACAGAATGAGAAAAAACCACCCGCCCAAAAAAAACCCAGCATGACTCATTTAAAAAAAATAAATTTAAAAACTATGAACTTTTGAAGTCGCAATTGTTTTGTCATATGGTCTTTCATAAATTTTGTTGCCTGCCTGCTTTCTTCCTTTGTTACAGAACTCCAACACTTACCCAAAGGTAGCTGTTGGGTCAGGATTTCTGCACTGCAGTCCCTTCTATGGCTGCCAGAAATATGTTTAAGGAAAGAAGTCTCAATCCAGACCCCAAGAGAGGGTTCTTGGATCTCGCCCAAGAAAGAGTTCAGGGCCTGTCTGCAATGCAACGTAAAAACAAGTTTACTAAGAAAGTGAAGTGGTGAAAGGACAGCTACTCCATAGATAGAGTAGGACGTTCCAGAAAGCAAGAGGAGGAAGGCATCCACCCTCGGCGCAATGCCTGTGTGTGTGCGGAGATGTGCTCTGCTGCAAGGGTTTGTGATAAAGGATTCATTTTCTTGGTTATTATATTTTGCAAGAATCGACATTATTATCTTTAAACAAAATTAGGAATGCCTTTGTTCTCCAGATATCAGGATATCTGGACACTCCCAAGTCTGGGTCTGTTTAGTAAACATTATTAATTTGTTCCCTTAACCATAAACATCTAGAGGCAAAGAATGCCTGACTTTCTGGGAATGCAGCCCAGCAAGGCCCAGCCTCGTTTACCTAACCCCACCAAAAATGGAGTCGCTCTTGCTGGAATACCTCTGACACCCTTCTCCTTTTTTTCTTCTTTCTTTCCTTCCTTCCTTTTCTCTTTGAAATAAGAAATCAAGACTACTTGGCGTTTCATCTAAAACAGTACCTATAAATGACAACCAAAAACAGAAACCCAGGTTTCTAAACTCAAAGCTAGGATGTTTTGCTGTCTCCGCTAATACTCGGCTGATCTTTAATTAGTGAATAGGTACTTTTCTTTAACAAAATCAGATTCCTGGACTCCATGGGGAGAGAAAATAAGACAGAAATGCTCATAAACCTTCTCAGCTGATTCTGAGGAGGGCTCCAACTTTCAACACAGCAAGACTGGGGGCAAGTCCATCACCCTGAGTAAAGCGAGAAGGGTTTATACAACCCTTCCCTAATAAACTCCAACTTTTTCCCCAGAGCTGCAGTCTCTGGGTTAGAAAGCAAAAGACAGAAAAGTAACCTGTACTTTTCCCCAGTTCTCCATATAGTCACGGAAAGATTTATTTTTTCCTCCCCACTCAACAAAGGAGAAAGATCTGAAAACAGAAAGATGAATTTGTAAAGACAGGAAGAAAAGTAGCTATCGTTGGCTAAATTCTGGACAAATGGAACTATATGGAAGGGTCTTGGGAGAATTTTAATTTGAAAATAGGTTAACTGAGACTTAGTGAAAAATAAAGGCCCACGAGGAGACAGATAACAGAAGGCCCAGCAACTGTTCATAATTTGGGAAAGAAAGGAGACAGGAGATAAGGAATATAAGAATACGATGTCACAGACATCTCAGTTCTGCCTTCAGCATCTGTTAGCTGTATTTGATATGTTTTTCTTGGTCTTTCATATCCATTAAATGATATATATGTTTAAATGAAGTGTTTTTTTAACTTCCTGGAAAAATATTTCCTGCCCATTATTTTAAAATCATAATAACTACTAAAATACTTTTTTTTTTTTTTTCTTTGAGACGGAGTTTCGCTCTTGTTACCCAGGCTGGAGTGCAATGGCGCGATCTCGGCTCACCGCAACCTCCGCCTCCTGGGTTCAGGCAATTCTCCTGCCTCAGCCTCCTGAGTAGCTGGGATTACAGGCACGCGCCACCATGCCCAGCTAATTTTTTGTAGTTTTAGTAGAGACGGGGTTTCACCATGTTGACCAGGATGGTCTCGATCTCTTGACCTCGTGATCCACCCGCCTCGGCCTCCCACAGTGCTGGGATTACAGGCGTGAGCCACCACTAAAATACTTTTAAATAAATATTTTGTTGGGGTTCAGCACATACAAAGCCAAAATATGACACCCTCACACCTGAGAAGCAGGAAGGTCATTCTCACCCTCCTCTTACCCTTCTTCCCTGAAGCAGGCCATAAAAACTGAAATAAGAATTCTCTGACCTTGTCCTGAAGCAGGTCATAAGAACTTCATGTCAGAGATGCCCCCTGTATATATGAAGGAAAGAAATGACCTCTGAAGACATAGGGATACAAAGAAGAATCTGAACAAAGAGGCCTTGCTATGTCTTCATCAGTTTATTGCCATTAGACCATATGCCTATCCTCAATCATATTAATCCACAACTATGCACTTCACCAAACTTACCATAAAAATACAAAGATTTCCCTCTCCTTCAAGTTTTCCGTTATTTTTTCTTTCTTTTTTTTTTTTTTTAAGACAGAATCTCTGTCACCAGGCTGGAGTGCAGTGGCACGTTCTCGGCTCACTGCAACCTCCACCTCCCGGATTCAAATGATTCTCCTGCTTCAGCCTCCCTAGTAGCTGGGACTACAGGCATGCACCACCATGCCCAGCTAATTTTTGTATTTTTAGTAGAGACATGGTTTCACCATGTTGGTCAGAATGGTCTGGATCTCTTGACCTCATGATCCACCTGCCTCAGCCTCCCAAAGTGCTGCAATTACAGGCATGAGCTACTGCACCTGGCCTCAAGCTTTCATTCCTAAAGCGTCCCATGTAATAAAAAACATATATTAAATACATTTGTATGCTTTTCTTTTGTTAGTCTGTATTTTTTAATAGGGGCCTTAAGCATGAACTTACTGATGGGTGAGAAAAAAAAGAATTTTTTTTCCCCTGCAATATAAACATCAATTGTAATTTTATCATTCAGGACATTTTGGTGGCCAAGCTTACAGAAATTTTACCTTGTGCAAGTCTATTCAAACCAATATGTAAATCTTCTATAAGTGAGATTACATTTCACTTTTCTAGTATCAAAAGAGACTCTAATGATTATTTTTTTCCCCCTTCCTACATTGGCTCAGAAACAAAATGATTATTTTCATAACAGCATTTCATTTCGGGGAAGTAGGTAATTGCCCTTTATTGATTGATCTTATCTTTTTAAAAATTATGAGGCTGGGCAAGGTGGATCATGATTATAATCCCAGCATTTTGGGAGGCCAAGGAGGGTGGATCACCTGAGGTTGGGAGTTCGAGACCAGCCTGACCAACATGGAGAAACCCTGTCTCTACTAAAAATACAAAATTATCTGGGGTGTTAGCTCATGCCTGTAATCGCAGCTACTTGGGAGGCTGAGGCAGGAGAATTGCCTGAACCTGGGAGGTGGAGGTTGCGGTAAGCCAAGATCATGCCATTGCAATCCGGCCTGGGTAACAAGAGCAAAACTCCGTTTCAAAAGAATAAAAATAAAAATTATGAACCATGTTATCATGAAAATGCTTTTCAGTACTTCTATACACACAAGATTGCTGTAATGCCAAAAGCAGAGGTAGGAATCATGCATCAAATGCTATACATATTTAGGGTTTTCATATATGTTGCCAAGTTGCCTCCTCAAAGGCTCTTTACACTCTCCCCTGAAGGGTGTTGTTTCCTCACTTCCACAAATGCTCTTGAACATTGGGCGTGTTAGTCTGTTCAAATTTTAGACGTGAACAATTAAATCTCGTTTTTAAGACAATTATTATTTGAGACTGTACATTTTGATAATAACATTTCTTCTATTATGGTTTGATTACTCATGATTCTTGCCCATTTCCTTTTGGGATGTTGCCTTATGTACATTATTTTAAATAGATAGCTCCATGTATTGAAGATTACTGTATCTGAGGGCTTACAATATATCAATTACATTTTATACTTTTATATATATGTATATATATAAATATACATATTATATGTTTATATATATATATAAATGTATCAAATACATTTATACTTGTAAGTTCTTTACAAGTATAAATTCATTCAGTCATCACCAAAACTCAATGATGTATGAATACTATTACCATTGTTTAACAGATTAAAATAAGTAATATAGTCACTTATTGAGTTCTATACATTTGATAATTTTTTTGTTTCATTGTTCTATCAATTATTGGGGGATGAGTGTTGAAATCTCCAACTTTAAATCATGTGTGTGCCTAGTTCTCCTTTTGGTTCTATCAGTTTTTGCTACACATATTTTGCGGTTCTGTTATTCAGTGTATATATATTTAGAATTGCTTGGTTTTCGAGTTAGATTGACTCTGTTATCATTATGTAACATCTCGGTCTGTTCCCAGTAATTTGTTGTGCTCTGAAGTATTCTTATCTGATATATCATCCGAAAGACCACCAGGATGGCTAACTAGTAGAAAGGAGAGAATTCCTGGCAATACTAACTTGCAAGCCAGGAAGAGATGCTCCCAGAATATGCCAAAATTACTCTCCCTTTGGGGAGAGAAAGAGCAGGTTGGGTATTTTTATGCCTCATAGGGCCTGTATCAAGCAAAAGAGTCATACATATTCAGCAGGTTTGGGGGGACAGCTAGCTATATATAATTATGAGGGGTGCTGAGTGCATTTACAATACATAAACACATGTGTAACATACCTCCCATGTTCACTTTGAGGTGGGGTTTTAGGTTAAAATGAGCTGGAATTTAGCTCTTTTATTTTATTTATTTATTTATTTTTGAGACGGAGTTTTGCTCTTGTTACCCAGGCTGGAGTGCAATGGCGCCATCTCGACTCACCGCAACCTCCGCCTCCTGGGTTCAGGCAATTCTCCTGCCTCAGCCTCCCGAGTAGCTGGGATTACAGGCACACGCCACCATGCCCAGCTAATTTTTGTATTTTTAGTACAGACAGGGTTTCACCATGTTGACCAGGATGGTCTAGATCTCTTGGCCTCGTGATCCAACCGCCTCGGCCTCCCAAAGTGCTGGGATTATAGGCGTGAGCTACCGCACCCGGCCTGGAATTTAGCTCTTTACATCAACTATAGGAATAAAGGTCACAGCTGCCTCTACAAGCTGGCTGAAACTGGCTTAAGGTCTACAGTTACTTGTAAGAAAAGAATGTGTATCAAGTAGGTCCTCTGTTCAATCAGAGTTGTAGTGACCTGGACTATAAATCAGAGTTACAAGAGCGTCTGATAGCTCCTATAGTTAAGGAATTTAGCAAGTGTAGTTTTTTGTAGTCTTTGGAATTTAAGAATTTGCCGTGCTAGGCAGGCCGTGAACCCTCAACCAGTAGGTAACTTTCTTTCTTTAATCTTAGAGTCTTAATTGGTATAGGAGCACCTATTTTGGTCTCTCAGATCACAGGTATTAATACTGATACTCTTGCAGTTTTTGCCTTATGTTTATATGGTATATTGTTTTTCAACTTTTAATTTCAACCTGCATTATGTTTATATTTGAAGTGAGATTTGTGCAGTGTACAGTTGGGGTCTTCATTATTACCCACTGGACCAAACTGTCTTTTTAATTCATGTATTTACATTATACACATCAGTGCAATTATTGATATATTAGGGCTTAAATTCATGAAGGGTAATGTGGGGGACATAGGCTCTTGGCCCACTAAATGTTTGTCAGAAATCACTGACAAGGCACATTGATTAATAGGTGAAAGGTGGGCCAGGTGTAGTGGCTTATGCCTGTAATCCTAGCACTTTGGGAGGCCGAGGCAGGTGCATCACAAGGTCAGGAGATGAAGCTCATCCTGGCTAACACAGTGAAACCCCATCTCTATTAAAATACCAAAAATTAGTCAGGCATGGTGGCACGCCCCAGTATTCCCAGCTACTCAAAAGGCTGAGGCAGGAGAATTGCTTGAACCTGGGAGGCAGAGGTTGCAGTGAGCCCAAATGGTGCCACTGCACAACAGCCTGGGTGACAGAGTGAGACTGTCTCACACACACAAAAAAAGTAGGTGAAAAGGCATACAAACTTATTCAATGTATATACGTGGGAGCCTTCAGAATTAATTACCTAACTTCCAAATGAATTACAGATGCTTATGAAGTCAAAGAAAGAATTAGGGCTTAGATTCTGGTAAAACAGGTTATGGGAGGCAGAAGAGGTTTGGCTTGCAAAGGTGTCCTTGTTATGTAGGTAAAGCCTCCCTCAGAGAGAATAGAGGGTAAATGTTCCTTTTGAGATTTTTAAGTGTTAAATTCTCCATCTCTATAGATCTGGGAAAGGCATAGAAAGGAGGGGAGGAGAAGCTGCATGAAAGGAGATTATCTACAGATGTAAATTTTTCCCATTTAAGACAGCTTTGCAACCCATTTCTGCCTGATGGACAAGCAGCAGCCATTTCAAAATATGTCAAAGAAATATATTTTGTGGTAAAATATTTTTATTTCCTTTAGACTGACTGGTGGATTTATAAGAAGTGGAAGAGACACCTGAGCTGACACACACAGTCTTGCTGTCTCAGTATGCTATGATGTAGTAAGAAGGTCCTCACCAGATACTAATGCCATGCCATTTGCTTCCCAGGTTTGAGAACAGTAGGAAATAAATTTCTTTTCTTTAGAAGTTTGCCAGTCTGTGGTATTCTGTTACAATATCACAAAATGGAAAAAGTAACTATATTATGAAAACCTTGAATGACTGATCCCTTCTACGTCACACACAAATACAGGCCACATTTAGAACACTGTTGGAGGCTCCACTGTCCAATAGAAATATACGACAACTTATATATGTAATTTTAAATTTTCAATAACTTCAATAGTATATTTTAACTTTTATAATCAAAATATAATGTATATTCAATATGAATAAATATTAGTGAGATGTTTTACACTCTTTCTTCATACTAAGTTATATGGTTTGTATATTCATCCCCTCTAATGCTTATGTTGAAATGTAATCTCCAATGTTGGAAGTGAAGCCTGGTGAAAGATATTTAGATAATGAGGGTGAATCCTTCATGAATGGATTGGTGCTCTCTTCATGGTCATGAGCAGGTTCTTACTTTGAGTTCACAAGAGATCTGGTTGTTTAAAGGAGTGTGGCACCTCCGCCCTCTCTCACTCAGCTCTCACCATATGATATGCCTGCTCCTCTTCACATTCCGCTGTGACTGGAAGTTTCCTGAGGCCTTGCCAGTAGCAGATGCCTGCACCACACCCCTCATACAGCCTGCAGAACTGTGAGCCAAAAAATTACTTTTCTTTATAAATTACTCAGTCTCAGGGATTCCTTCATAGTAATGCAAGAACAAACTAACACATTAAGACTATTTCATACTTATAGAATAGCTCAATCTGAAGTACTCTTTTTCAACTTCTCAGTAGCTACTTGTAGCTAGTGGGCACTGGTTTGGAGAGTGTTGAATGGTGAATTGTATTATGCAAATAATCGATTTTTTTTAAGTTCTTTTTGCAAACTATGAGGCATCAGATTGTCTTTCTTTCACTTCTCCTGGAAGTGGAGTTGCTATTGGTAAACAACTTATTTTCCTTTTATATTTATAAGGAATAAATAACCCCCAATATCTCCTTCCCCAATATCTGCCTTTTGTATGTTATTCAAAGGCAAGTGCCCAGAATTTACCGGTTTTGAGGCACTTACCGAAAGGATTCCCATCAAGTCATTTTCCAATAGCACATATCAGGCACTTGTAGCTTTGCTTCATTCAAGGTAACTTGGATGAGGTGAACCGTTTTACTCCTTCACAGCCCAATGGAGTATACATTACTGATATTGTGACTGCATGTACTCCTGCTTTCTAGCCTGAGTTTTTAAAGCTACCCTTAATCATGGTTTCAGTTTTATCTAGCCCTGTACATAACGAGGGCACTTTCCAGAATGAGCTACAATTTGTTCCGGAAGTGAGAATTGCTATACCTTCTGATCCTTGGTTCCTGACATTTTCTGGACTTCCCATCCATCCAGCATTTTATTGAAGTATTTATTCTTCCTACTTGGCTGGCTTCTTCACTGCTTTCAGGTGTGAATTCCAATGACATTCTTCTGATGAAGCTTTCCCTCCTTATCCCTATTCTTGTTTCTTATCCTCTTTCTTTTTCTCCATAGCACTCATCACTTATCTCCACATTTTTACTGTGTATTCACCTTATTGTGCACCTCCCCCTACAAGAAAAGCAGCACCCTAGGGAAACAGGTTGTTGTCTGCTGTTTCACTGCTGTGCTTCCTGCACCTAGAACACTGTCTGGCACTTAGCAGGTTTTCAGTAAATATATGCTGAACTAATGCGGGATGCACATCTCCCTCCTGAACTCCTTCTAATTTACAGTGATCAATATTCTTTTCTATGTGCTTTTGTATTATTTATTGCTCAAAACCTTGAATTTGTATGCAGAATGTGCACTGCTATTTAATCTTTAGGTATCCAAGTCCTCCCTTCTCAGAGTATAAACTCTTTAGGGCAGTATCTAACTTGTTAACATCTCCATCATGAGTCTTGCACCTTTTTAAAGAAAATGAGCCAGTGGCTACTGATATTTACTGCTATTGTTGACGGCGAAGATCATTATAATTTTGAAAAGGGAGGTTGAATATTGAGGGGGAAAATATCACCAGAGTCAGAAGACTTGGGAAAATGCAAAAAAATTTTTAAAAATGAGTGCTTGTAGTCTCCTGACAGTTTGTCTGAATCAAATCGATTATTCTGTGACAGCGTTGGCTTAGGAGCAGATTTTCTGTTTTTAATTTTTATTTTTTGCCCTTCTCCTGATTGTAAGGAACAGATTTTCTTTCGTTTTTTTTTTTTTTTTTTTTTTTGAGATGGAATTTCGCTCTAGCCCAGGCTGGAATGCTGGAATGCAGAGGCACAATCTCGGCTCACTGCAATCTCTGCCTCTAGGGTTCAAGCGATTCTCCTGCCTCAGTCTCCGGAGTAGCTGGCATTACAGGCACCCACCACTACGCCCGGCTAATTTTTTGTATTTCTAGTAGAGACCGGGGTTTCACCATGTTGGCCAGACTGATTATGAACTCCTGACTTCAAGTGATCTGCCTGCCTCAGAATCCCAAAGTGTTGGTATTAAAGGCGTGAGCTACTGCGCCCAGCCAGGAGCAGATTTTCTTACATCCATGGCTCTTTTTGCCTCTGCCATCCTGTTTGAGTGTAAGTAGACCAAAGATAGAAGTAGTAGATACCTCAGAAATTCCTGGAATAAGTAATCCACCTTCATCCAGACCCCATCTGCTCCTGTTTCACGGAATATAAAAGGAAAACAGCAAGATTTCTCTACTCAATTCTGCCTGATTTTAGGTTCCTCAACAAGAGAGCCAGGTAATGACTGTAATAATACTGTCCGGGCCAAGGGAAAACTTCCCCTTTGCCCTCCCAAGTTTCATTGAAAATTACTGTCAAAACATGGATTAATTGGAGAAAAGGTGTATACATTTATTGCATCACAACTTTACAGAAGCTTTTAGAATGAAGACTGAAAAACACAGGGGCAATTGCCCATTTTTATGCCTAGGTTCAACAATATAAACAGCTGTATAGGATATGATCTAATGCGAACAGACTGAGTGGGGAAGCCCTGCAAGGCTTGTCTGTCAAGATTCTTCTTGACCTCTCAGTGCAGCATTCTTTCCTTCTTGTTAAGGGACAAGACCCTCTTTGAGAATGGGGGGGAGGGTCTTATGACCTACAGGCAAACAAGGTAGGTTAGACTGATATTTTTAGGTTTTATAGCTGGCTCTGGGGAAAAGAAGTTCTGGTTTGTATGGCCCACCCTGAGGAGGAATCCTAGTTTCTATGGTTAGCCTCTGGGGAGAATGGGACTTAGGAATGCAGAAGTTCAGAGAAACACTTTTATGATAATAATCCCATTTTGAGTATTTCTGCGTTATGAAATGTTTCTTCCGTCATTCCCTGAAAGATTCCAGACTCCTCATTCAGTGTTACAAGAGTTCAGGAAATGCAACTCTAAAATATGCCACTTTGGTATGCTGATGTGAACAGACAGCACCTAGGAAACAGTAGGAAACAGTACATTCAGGGACGGGCTTTCTGTGAATTCTTATCATCAAAAATTTCAACATGTAGGCAGAATTTCAAGAAGGAATTTAGTTGTCAAGAATCACTTTCCTAGACAATATCATTAACCAGAGAAGATGAACTGTATCACGAGACAGGAAACTGGAGGTTAACACCATCTAGACATTTTGTCACGGCTGTCACCTATTCTTTGAAACACCCATTTATTTTTCTCCCAAATCATACATTTTCCCCGGCTTTCCTACATCCCCCTTCTCTCTCCCTTATGAAGAGAGCTTATAAACTTCTGCAATTCACTGGGATTTGGAGTATTGGCTTTTCTTCCCTCCCACCCCCACCCCAACCCCCATCCCACCCTTTTTATTCCAGTCTCCTTGCTCTGTCTCTCAAGTTGGAGTGCCATGGATCTCTTAGCTCGCTGCAACCTTCACTTCTCAGGTTCAAGGGATCCTACTCTGCAGTAGCTGGAACTACAGGCGCGCACCACCAAGGCCGACTCTCCACCACCCCCCGGCCATTTTGGTATTTTAGTGGAGACAGGGTTTCTCCATGTTGTCCACGCTGGTCTCGAACGCCTGACCAGCCACCCACGGCCTCCCGAAGTGCTGGGATTACGGGTAAGAGCCACCACGCCCGGTTTGAAGGACTTGTTAAATATTATCTATTTAGAAATTGGAGTCCACTCCTTTCCAAAACCATGAGTCACACTCCCGGAAAACTACGAGCGGCTAAAAGTCAAAATAGCCAGTACAAAACTTCCATAAAAAGGTATTTTAAGAAAATCCCAATTGGGTCAATTATTAGTATTCCAGTCTAAGTCTCGTCAAGCCAGACTCGTCATTGGGTCAGACATATAAACCTTTCACCAGATGGAAGAATGACATGCAAATGAAGGATGCAGATTCTGATTTCCCATTGGGTATTTGACATTAGCCAATGGAAGCATTCCTCACAAGCTACCTCCAGTCAGTATAAATACTTCTCTGCCTTCCCTCGTAAGGTATTCTCATTACATTTTTTTGTGGAGGATCTTCTTTTTTCGCCGAGGAAACCATGTCTGGACGCGGCAAGCAGGGCGGCAAAGCCCGAGCCAAGGCCAAGACCCGCTCTTCTCGCGCTGGTCTCCAGTTCCCCGTGGGCCGCGTGCACCGCCTGCTCCGCAAGGGCAACTACTCTGAGCGGGTCGGGGCCGGCGCGCCGGTCTACCTGGCGGCGGTGCTGGAGTACCTGACCGCCGAGATCCTGGAGCTGGCGGGCAACGCGGCCCGCGACAACAAGAAGACCCGCATCATCCCGCGCCACCTGCAGCTGGCCATCCGCAACGACGAGGAGCTCAACAAGCTCTTAGGACGCGTGACCATCGCGCAGGGCGGCGTCCTGCCCAACATCCAGGCAGTGCTGCTGCCCAAGAAGACCGAGAGCCACCACAAGGCCAAGGGAAAGTGAAACATTAACGCTCCAAGCACTGCTGTTTCTCTGAGCAGACCAAATCTGCCTAACAACAAAGGCTCTTTTCAGAGCCACCTACGACTTCCGTTAAACGAGCTGTTGTGCTTTGGATTAGGCTGCCCGTACAGATGTTTTTGAGGTAAAATAAGGTCCTATAACGTTGTAATTTCCACTGCAGAAATCTGGCTCCCTAGAAACCTTCAGGAGATCTAGGTAGGTGGGAGAAAAGCCACGCAGCACGCAAAACATTACACATAGGGGATGATTCTCGCTAACCTTCACACCAAGCATTTAACTACATTTTGGAGAAAGAAAATTATACCCTTGAGTGTACTCCTAAATTAGTGTTTCTGATGAAAGTGTTAAAACCCCCATGCCCCATATGAGAAAACGTCATAAAATTCTCTGCAGCAATTGAGAGAATACACATTACCACTGAACGTTTTAGCATGTATTTACCAAAATGAGCTTTTTTCCGGTTTGGGGGGTGCTTTGTTTTGAGATGGTCTCCCCCTGTCTCAAGCTGGAGTGTAGTGGCGTGATAATAGCTCACTGTAACCTCGAACTCGAGCTCGAGATCCTCAGCCATCAGAGTAGCTGGGATTACAGGCGTGAGCCGCCACGCCCGGCTAAGAGAATTTTTCTAATTGCCCACACTACTCATGCCACACCCAGAAAAATCTATCATTTTAAATAAAGCTCATATGCAGATTTCTTGACGCCTCCAATATTCTTTGATTTCTTTTCTTCTTTAACTAGAAAATATTGGAGGTTTCCGCGTTGCTTTCTGTGGTGGCAAATTTTAAGACTAGAAAGCATTTTCAGTTCAAGACTTTTGTCCACAGTGGATCTAGCAGCTCAGGGGTTAACAAAATGACGTCAGAGCAGTTACAGTTATGGGCAGGACATTGAATTCTTTCTTCAACCTGAAAGCCTCTCTTAATCTGCAACCAGGCACAGAGATGGACCAATCCAAGAAAGGCGCGGGGATTTTTGAATTTTCTTGTGGCCAATAGTTGGTGTTCTGATGCTATAAAAGAAGAGTAGCTCTTTTTCCTTCACAGACGTCTCTGAAGGTGGGCTTTTCTCTCTGATTATTTTTTCGATTTTTTGTTATGGCTCGTACAAAACAGACTGCTCGCAAGTCTACTGGCGGCAAAGCGCCGCGCAAGCAGTTAGCTACCAAGGCAGCCCGCAAGAGCGCTCCGGCCACCGGCGGCGTGAAGAAGCCGCACCGCTACCGGCCCGGCACCGTGGCCCTGCGCGAGATCCGCCGCTACCAGAAGTCCACCGAGCTGCTGATCAGAAAGCTGCCTTTTCAGCGGCTGGTGCGCGAGATCGCGCAGGACTTCAAGACCGACCTGCGCTTCCAGAGCTCCGCGGTGATGGCGCTGCAGGAGGCCTGCGAGGCCTACCTGGTGGGGCTCTTTGAGGACACCAACCTGTGCGCCATCCACGCCAAGCGGGTGACTATCATGCCCAAGGACATCCAGCTCGCTCGTCGCATTCGAGGAGAGAGAGCGTAAATGTAAAACTAACTTTTGATCAGTCTAAAACCCAAAGGCTCTTTTCAGAGCCACCCAATTATTCCAACGGAAGTAGCTGTGATAACTGTCTTTTATCGTTAACGAAAATACGGTTGTGTGCTCAGCATCCTTGGAAGGATTTTCTCTGCCTAATACATAGCCCTCTAGGTTTTCATTATATGTTGTATGTATATACGTATTTAAAACGTTGGCTGATCACATTAACCTGCAATTCTGGTGCAATATGTGAGGCAGGGATCTAACTGCTCTCCCCTTTTATCCATAGCTAGCTACTAACTTTTTGTCTTTCACTGTTGACCCAGCATACATTTTACAAACCAACTTTAGAACAACCACATCCTGTCAAACATTAAAACTATTAATTCCAAACTCTTTGCCTCACATTCTTTTTTACACGTAATATTTTTTCTTGGCCCACATCTAGAATGTGAATTGATATACCATGCTAAAATCAGCTGGCCAACTGTCAACAAACCACACACAAAAAAGATTACATTTGAATTTCATCATTTATTTAAATTCATGTGTGTCCCAGGTTTTAATAAAGCAGTTTTTGGTTTACCAAATATTTGCATTTAAAAAAACATGAAAATGAATGTATTTGTGTGTTTCACATTTCATTTTTCTTGATTCTGTACAAGCGACCCTACCTGGCATAGACACTTGTTATCCACAGACAGGGTATGTTAGAGATGCCAGTGGATCGGGTCTATGCCAAGGTGACTGCCCCCAAGCCCTGGGCCCAGCTCAAGGTCAAGTATTTTGTTTTTTCCACTTATAGGTGTGCTGAGTCTGATGTACAGTGCTTGAATTTTTTCTTTACATTTTCTTTATAAGAAAAAATAGGTGTTGGCGGTACAGGGTCTGACGAATAGCATAAAAGAATAAAGTGACATTACTATGTAAGGATAAGATGGACCCCTCCCCCACTTACATTCTTTGCCCCCTCCTCAACAGAACAAGGATTCTGCTATAACTCTTCATTTATAGGTAATATTTAAAAATTAAAGAATGGATGAAATTCTCATTTGTGAAAGAAAATTTATTGAGCATTTTATATTGGGGAGTAGTGCAACAAACATTTTAATATCATTGCATTAAGAATCTATTGTTTTGTATTAGAGGAGTAGTTAAGGTGAGATTGAAGATGAGAAGGGGGTGTTTGCAGAATATGCCACCCAAAAATAGGCCACTGGGGCATGAGAATTCTTTTGAGCTAAAGGCACTTCAAAAATGGCCAACTCAAGAAGCAATTCTTCTAATATTACCTTTTCTTTCTAAAAACAGGAGATACAAATTTCAATGTGAAAAATGCTCTCCATGTACCAGGAGAAAAGAAATATTCTTCAGCAGAATCATAGATGAGATAATTCTGCACAAACACAGCAGGGAGTCATAGCTGAGAGACTGCTATTTACAAACCTTGTTAAAATAATGCTATTTTCCTTTAATCTACCCATATGGTTTAATTACTTTCCCACAATTGCCTCTCTTTAACTTAATGTGAAAGCATTTAATTTTTGTCGTTTCTTTGGGTCTTCACTTTCTTACAAGCGTTTACCTGTCCCATAAAATTTATATGAAATAAATTTGTATGTTTTTGTTCTGTTAAGCTGTTTTATGGCAAATTAATTCTCAGGTCCAGTTGGAGAACATAACAGAGTAGAGGTAAAGGCCTCCCTACAACAGGGATTTTTGTTTGCCTTAAATGCTGATTGTTCCTACCACAAAGTGAATATTATACTATAGGCTGAAGTTTACAGCTAATGCTGTTGGGAGTGTAAAAGCAGTTTTGGTTTGTTAGATTTGGGTGAAAAGGCTAAGATTCTCAGAGTAAGAAGTCAAGTTCAGTTTGTATTTTTCAGGCTTAAAAATATAGCAGTAGCCATTCCAGTTCTTCCAATAGAAATTATTTACAAGTGTTTTCAGGAAATTTAAAACAACTGTTTATGGAGATTTGAACTGCACTCCATGCTTGGCTACGGGAAGGCACAAAGGCTGCTATTGTTACCCACCTTGGAAAAGAGAACAAAGGAATGTTTTTGGACGATTTTAACATGTCACATATGAAAAAACAGAATCTGTCAACACCTTGTAAGTTATTACAGGCTGTAATTTTTAAAAACAGTCCCTACTAAGACATACATATTTGCTGCTAGCAACATAGTGTTGGGAGTAAACACCCTAAAATGAGAGTTCAAGGCAATATCCCAACGTCTGGGCAGATTGTTTAAGTAGTAACATCTAAATTTAAAACATGTGTAATATCTCTTTTCCAGTCTCTGTTCTCATGACTTGTTCACATTAGGTAATTAAAAGTCCCCTGAGTATCATCATTAACACCAGTTTTTGATGAAAAAACTGGTGTTTTACAGAGGAAGGCATGGTGGCAATGTTACATAGCTAATAATCAGCCTCTTCTGAAACAGTACAGTGTGAAGGGACAGCAAAACTCCGCCCCCATCCTCTTAGGGCTCTGGCTGAACCAGCAAATGAAACTAATATAAAATAGATTAAGAGAAGGAAGGTATATGCATTTATTTAACACAAGTTTTACGAGGCACAGGTGCTCTCATAAACAAATGAAGGCCCAAAAATGCAGTTAGTTGTTTGTATAATGAATTGGACAAAGAACAGTACACTGCGAAGAATCGCTAAAGCAAAGGGATTTAGGCTAGGATATATAACTGGGTAGAGAAGCGGCCAGGAAAGGCTCGTTTAGCAAAGTTTGTACAGAATTATCTTGGCTTCAGCCTCCCATCCTTAAGAAGAGGATCTTTAAAGCATAGTGAGAACATCTTTTATATGAGAATTTCACCTACTGCTTTTAAGAAACAAAAGGCCAGCTCTCAAGAAAACAGAAGGCCGAGCGATCTTTTCACACCTGCCCTTTTCTTCATTTCCTTTCATTTAAATAGTCAATATATCTTCAAGCACTTGAAGGACTTAAAAAGTTTACCACTTTGGCATATTAATGAAAGCCCCTAATATAAACCCTTATTAAAATTCACACTCGACGGTATAATAGCTTTAGATTCCAACAGTAGCGTTGTAAATGGCAAGGGAAAACGCTAAAGGGATTAAAAAGTGAAACTATTGTATCGCTCACAGTCCTTAGGTCAGTCCCTGAGAGGGGCGGAGCAAAGGGTGAGGCAGCAACGCCTCCTTACCCTCGCTACCTCTTTCAGTTCTCAATAAGGTCCGATGGTAGCAAATAAATGCTCCTGGCGTGCTTTGTTTTCGCATTGTCTCTCTTCGGCCTAGAATCGCTAAAGCATGTCTGGTCGTGGCAAAGGCGGCAAAGGCTTGGGTAAAGGAGGCGCCAAGCGTCACCGTAAAGTGCTACGAGATAATATCCAAGGCATTACCAAGCCTGCTATCCGACGCCTGGCCAGGCGTGGCGGGGTGAAGCGAATCTCGGGTTTAATTTACGAGGAGACTCGCGGGGTACTCAAGGTCTTCCTGGAGAACGTGATCCGAGATGCGGTGACCTACACGGAGCACGCCAAGAGAAAGACTGTCACTGCCATGGATGTGGTTTACGCGCTGAAGCGTCAGGGCCGCACTCTGTATGGCTTCGGCGGTTAATCTTTTTTGTTTTTCTTCCCAATGGCCCTTTTCAGGGCCGCCCACTCCCTCTCAAAAAGAGCTGTGACTGTAATGTTTGAGATCTACGTTTTGGCTTTCTCAGCCACTCTGTACCTAGCGTGCACCACTTATATAGGCCAGTTGGGAAACACCAGGTTCTTAAGTCTGAGTGGCTGCTCAAGGAGTCGGATTTCCCAGGCTACTGGGGTTTCCTCCAGCGGAGGAGAATCTAAAGGGTGTGGACCCCTGGCATCTTGCATATTAGTGGTCTATATTGTCCTACGTTTCCTGTAAGTGAACTATTAACTTTAATGCTACGCATTTGACACACAAAAAAGCTTTGCCGTATAGCGCCAGTCCAATAAATTGTTCAGCTTTTTAGTTGTACAAATACTTAAAAACTTATTTTTAAAAGAGCTTGGGTGCCAGGCGCCTGCAAGTGGGTAGGTCGATTAAAATAGAAGTCAGTTGTTTCCCAGGCATATCTGACTTCAGCAACATCAGCTAAGGTCTGCACTTTTAGCCTCCCTGGTAACACCTGCCCTCCTTAACACCCCCCCCCCCGCACCTGCTCTCCTTAACCCCCACCACCTGCCCCCCTTAACCCCCCTACCTGTCCGTTGCGCCAGAAGCCTTCATCCCCGTTTCTAGTTCAGCTTGGCGTCCTGCTGAGTGACGTCATCTACCCCTTTCCCCTCCCTCCCCCAGTAGTCTGCTGGTTTAAGCAGCTTTGCTAGTTTCAGTCCTTAGGCTGGAGGCTCTGCTAATCAGGCTGCCTAGGCAGTTTAATTTTCACTTAGTAGACTAAAGTTTTTTATAAATAAGGACTCATAATTTCCTCTTGATACCGAGGTCCGTGACAGTAGCTGTAAGATGGAAGCCTCCTCTGATACAGGGTTCTCAGATGACTTGGATCTTCACTGTACCTGTCAACCCAACAGTCTAATATCCCTGCCTTAAATTGGAATTGCCTTAAATTACAAAAGTGATTTTTTTAATTGTGAAAATTTTTAACTATACAGCGTAGTTAGGAAAACAGTTTCAAAGTTAGATGACCAAATTTAGAAGTCACCCAAATATTCAGCAACTTGGATTTAGTAACAAATACATTGATGACTACTTCAACAAAAAAAAAAACTTTGTTGCCTGGTTACATTGCTAAGAAGCCTCTCTTGACAGGAAGACAGTGCATAGGCAGTTGAATCAGTGAGTTCAGGTGAGAGGTCTGGGCTGGAGATAAAAATGGGAGAGCCATCAGCAAATAAATAAATGCTGAGACCAAATGAGATGGCTAAAAACAGAAATATAGCCTGTAATCCCAGCAGTTGGGAGGCTGAGGCGGGTGGATCACGAGGTCAAGAGATTGAGACCATCCTAGCCAACATGGTGAAACACCGTCTCTACTAAAAAGTACAAAAAATTAGCCGGGCGTGGTGGTGCGTGCCTGTAGTCCCAGCTACTCGGGAGGCTGAGGCAGAATTGCTTGAAACCAGGAAACCGAAGTTTCAGTGAGCCAGGATCGCGCCACTGCACTCTAGCCTGGAGACAGAGCGAGACTCCGTCTCAAAAAAACACAAAAACAAATGTAGTGCAGCATTGTTTGTATTAGTAACTGAGTGGGAACTGTAAAGTTTCAGCAGAAGGAACTGGATAGAATGTGATCTATATATCTATAAAATAGACTATTTCTTTTTTTTTTTTTTTTTTTTTTTTTTTCTTTAGACAGAGTTTCGCTCTTGTTACCCAGGCTGGAGTGCAATGGCACAATCTCGGCTCACCGCAACCTCCGCCTCCCGGGTTCAGGCAATTCTCCTGCCTCAGCCTCCTGAGTAGCTGGGATTACAGGCACGCGCCACCATGCCCAGCTAATTTTTTGTAGTTTTAGTAGAGACGGGGTTTCACCATGTTGACCAGGATGGTCTCGATCTCTTGACCTCGTGATCCACCCGCCTCGGCCTCCCACAGTGCTGGGATTACAGGCTTGAGCCACCGCACCCGGCCTAAAATAGACTATTTCTACACAGCTCTACTAAAAAACGAGAAAGCTGTACTCCACTGCATACATACTCTATTTTGGCTCAGTTCTTGAACTTCTCTTTTCTTGGTGTACTCACCTAGCCTCACCACTTACATGCTCAGTGTTCCGTGAAATAGTTTACGTTCAACAGGAAAACACCAAAGCCTAGCTGTAAGTGTCACGTTAACTTCTAGCAATGCCAAAGCCTGTGCTAGTGTCAGCTTCTGGCTGTTCCTCATTCCCACGAAGCGTAACCACCTCTCCAAATTCTATCAGTTTGCTTCCACCCATTTAAAGCTTCAGAATGAAACATTGTTTCAGAAAAATCGGCCTTTGTGGTGGCTATAATCCCAGAATTTTGGAAGGCTGAGATGGGTGGATCACCTAAGGTCAGGGGTTCGAGACCAGCCTGGTCAACACTGTGAAACCCCCCCATCTCTACTAAAAATACAAAAAATTAACTGGGCGTGATTACGGGCACCTGTAATCCCAGCTACCCTGGAGGGTGAGACAGAAAAATCTCTTGAACCCAGGAGGTGGAGGTTGCAGTGAGCTGAGATCGCACTACTGCTCTCCAGCCTGGATGTCAAGAGTGAAACTCTCAAAAAAAAAAAAAAAAGTGTTTGCAGTTATAAATCATCTCCCTGACTCATATACAACTGCATATTTATCTACATGAATATCTAATGGGCATCTCAAACTTGTCCAATATAAATGTGTTTATACATAAACACCAAGTCTGTTCTTCCTCTGATATTCCTTGCATCAATCAATAGGACTCCATTTTTCAAGCAGCTTGTGCCAGGAATTGTGCAATCTTGTTTGTTCTGAGCTTCTTACAACTTTCATCCAATGCAGTTCACTCTGTTGAAAATCAGTCAAAATACCTTTCACTGCTTTCTCTGCTGCTGCTTTAGGAGAAAGCTGCCATGGCGGTTTGTCTGAATGAACACAGTAACCTCTAACTGGTCTTTGTTTTCACTTTTAATCCCCTTATCATACAGTTTTTTATCTATCCAACAGCAACAGTGATCCTTTCTAAAGTTATTATGTCCACTGTCTGCTGAAAACATTCCAGTGGCTTTCCATCACCTTCATAATAAAAACCAGCATCTTTATCATAGCCTAGAAGTCAGATGACCAACAATTTCAGTTTGCCTAATTCTCAGGTGTTTCTCAGGGTATAGGACTTTCAGCGCTGAAACTTAGAAAGTCCCAAGCAAACTAGGATGAGTTGCTCAACCTACTTGGGAGGCCCTACTAGATCTGTACCCTGGCTACCCTCTGACCTCAATCTCTTCACAGTTATTTCTCTTCACTGACCCCTTGCTGTTTCTGGAATGCACCAACCATTTCCAGCATCAGCTTCTTTATATTTATTCTTTCTCCCTAGAAGTGTCTAATCCTGGAAATCTGAAGAGCTCTAGATCTCATTTCATTCAAGCCTCTGCTCAAATACCAACCTTAAGAGATCGCCTATGATCATCCTTTGTAAAATATTAAGCTTTTCTGCTCATTTGACATGTATATAGCTGACTATGCTCAAATAGCATATATATGTACACACATATATAACAATATATTTAACAAAAATACATATAACTATATATATATGTACATATATTATTTTGTGTTTGTTCTCTCTCCCTCAACTGGAATATATTTTTTGACGGTAGGGACTTTGCTTTTTCCCAGAAGTATGCCCAGCACCTAGAACAGGCCTAACAATTAATAGGTAGTTTATGGAGGTTTGTTGAATGAATGCATGCACGAATCTTCTATATAAGTCTCCAGGCTCCCACTAAGCCCATTAGAATGCTACCACAATCAATTCCCCATCTCTCATTCCTTGACCTGCCACTGCCTGAAGCAATCATCGTGTAGTTTCTCTCTAGAAAGTCTCCGGGGATAGTGCAGGGCTCGCTAATTAAGCAACGTTCGCTTTGTTCTGAGCAAGGACTGCATGAGTGTTAGGATTGAAGAAGGCTAAAGGTGGTGGTGAGAATGTCTAAGATGACTATGATCTATCAGCAATGCTATGAACTAAAAAGGCCAGGCAAACCATAACAGGAGCTACTTATGGATATTGTTATAGCAACCATACCTCCCATATGCGAAATCTATATCCACATACCTCTCTACATTGACTCTGGAATTCAGGAAAGGGAATTATAATTTGCTAACTTACGTACCCCAATGTCTACAACAATATCTGGCATATAAGATCAATAAATATCTCTAGAATACCAGCTTTCAGACATAAAATTACCCACCTTCTGTACCCAGGCTCATTTTTGTTCTTCTGACTCTTCGATTCCTAAAACCATCCAGGATGCAGCTACTAATTCTTTTCATTGTCAGTTTTAAATTAAACCAAGCTGTGTACATGTGTAAATTCCCCCAAGAAATCCTGGATGAAAACTGTCAGGTGGAAAACAGGACCCCAAAATAAAAAGACATCCATCACTGAAGCCAACATAGTGAAGCCAAAATCAGTCCTCTGTAACAATGGTACAAAGAGCACAATGACAAAGGCATTGTGAATATCTATTCAGATGAGAGTAAGATTTTTCCCTATTAGCTAATTTCAAGTAAGTTCACATCATTTTCCTGCTGAGTTCTGAAGCTTGATGTAGCACTGGAACACATAACTGGATCAAGAACATCCTTTAATACTATGGCTATAATGACTTGACTGGACAAAGCCCAGGCTTCCAAGTTTAGCCCAAGAGGCCCTTCACAGACCAACAGTGCCTAGGCTAACAACCTCATGTCCTGCCACCCTGCCTGCATCATTTCTCTCTCTCTGTGTGTATATAGAAATACATATGTGTATGTATATAATATCAGCTTTACTGATATTTTGCATACCATAAAGTTTACCCACTTTACGTACAGTTCAATGAATTTTACCATGTTACTTAGTTGTACAACCATCATCACAATCTAATTTCAGAATATTTCTATCACTCAAATTTCCATTTCTACGTAAAGCGGGGAGAAAACATGGCTAACTGCTGAAGGCTGCATTAACACAGAAATAGGCGCTTTTCTCTCTAAACCAGTTTTAATCTCCCCTAAATTTAGTGTCCTGGATATTCCAGGACTCTGAATTCGGCTTCAATTTTCAGGGTTTTTTTTTAATCGAGGCAAATCGTATTGGTGGCAATAAATTTAGTACTGCTCTCAGTGCATGATTGAAGGATACTTAAAAATCTCTGATTTTCTTTCATAATCCCTAAAAAAGATTTTTTTCCTGAAAAGGTTTAGTCGTTTCTCAATAAACTTATTAGCTTTCCCCTCGCGCTCTCTGGATTGCCTGAGAAAGTATTAGCTCATCAGCTCTGATTGGTTGACAGCTACTAATAAGGCTCACTGATTGGGCAGCGCTTCTCTTTGTTCCTTGGAAACTAATACAAATTCTTATCACTACTTGGTTTTTTCCATTCATTTTTCAGAGTAAGAATATCACTGCTCGCCTACCCGTATCTAGTGAGTGGCGGGGACTAAATTCCCGTAATCTTCTTTGCTGTCTGGGTCGTCAGCTCAGTATCATTCATGTTAATCATACACCAAACTTCTTGGGTTAATGGATACAGCTCTTCTTTTGTTTAGTTGGGCGGCCCTGAAAAGGGCCTTTTGTCTAGAAACGCAAGCTGTGGAGATATCGGCAACCTTAACCGCCAAAGCCGTAAAGGGTGCGTCCCTGGCGCTTGAGCGCGTAGACCACGTCCATGGCAGTGACCGTCTTACGCTTGGCGTGTTCAGTATAGGTGACAGCGTCACGGATCACGTTCTCCAAGAACACCTTGAGCACCCCTCGAGTCTCCTCGTAGATCAGACCAGATATCCGCTTGACCCCGCCACGCCGGGCAAGGCGCCGGATGGCCGGCTTGGTGATGCCCTGGATGTTGTCACGCAACACCTTGCGGTGGCGCTTGGCACCCCCCTTACCCAAACCCTTCCCGCCCTTACCACGTCCAGACATGACTTCCCAAAAAGTGAGCCAAGAGCAAGTGAGAGAATAGGGGAACCGATCTTTATATATCTACCTTCCCCCAACCCCAAGTAGACAGAAAATAAGAAGTGCGCAGGCGGGAATGTGACGTCTACAGTCCCCTCCCTTAACCCCTCCTCCAAGCCTCAGGAACTGGCAGGAGCAGCGGGTGGGGAAACGAGGGTGGAACCAAATTGGCTTGACCAATGGCCTTTTATTTTCTTAGCAGAGTTACATCGTTACGTTTTGAGTAACAAAGTGTCAAAGTAAACCCATTCTCATTTCAAATCTATTTTAAGCCGAATACTTTGAGACGAGTATAGCTCTGCAGCCCAGGCTGGAGTGCATCGGTGCGATCTCAACTCACTGAAACCGCTGCCTGCAAGGTTCAAAGCGATTCTCCTGCCTCAGCCTCTTGAGTATGGCTGAGATTACAGGCCCTCACCATCACGCCCAGCTTCTTTTTGTATTTTTATTGGAGACCGGGTTTAGCTATGTTGGCGAGGCTAATCCCGATCTCCTGACCTCGGGTGATCGGCCCGCCTCAGCGCCCTAAAGTGCGGGATTACAGGCGCGAGCCACCGTGACCGGCCAAAATGGAATGGCTTTTAAACTTTTGGTGGTGAGCCGAAAAGTGGCCCCAGTACATTTCCTTTCCTCTACGTTGGTTACTTACAGCTACTTTACTTGAGCATGTGGTGGCTCTGAAAAGAGCCTTTGATTGGGCAGTGAAAGATGCCAGAGTAATTACGCCCGCTCTCCGCGGATGCGGCGAGCGAGCTGGATGTCCTTGGGCATGATAGTAACGCGCTTGGCGTGGATGGCGCACAGATTGGTGTCTTCAAACAGCCCTACCAAGTAGGCCTCACACGCCTCCTGCAGAGCCATCACAGCGGAACTCTGGAAACGCAGGTCCGTTTTAAAGTCCTGCGCAATCTCGCGCACCAGGCGCTGGAAAGGTAGTTTACGAATCAGCAGTTCTGTGGACTTCTGATAACGGCGGATCTCGCGCAAAGCCACGGTGCCGGGGCGGTACCGGTGAGGCTTTTTCACGCCACCGGTGGCGGGAGCGCTCTTGCGAGCCGCCTTGGTGGCCAGCTGTTTGCGCGGCGCTTTGCCACCCGTAGACTTCCGAGCAGTCTGCTTAGTGCGAGCCATAACAGAAGGAAACACAGCACAAGAGCAAACAGTAATGCAAGCACAGCCGAGAGCAGCTCTGCTATTTATAGTATGTAAAGTACAGTGATTGGATGATAGAAGACTCTGAGTATGACGTTACAAGCTCTGATTGGTCTATCTTCAAGCCAGCAACAAACCTGCACTTTCACTAGCTACTATATTCTATTCCAAATCTAGATTATTACTTTTAAGTGGCATTTTATTATTATTTTAGTTTAGTTTTGCTTTATTCCCTGAGCTGGCCTCAACTCTCGGGCTCAAAGGATCCTCCCGCCTCAGCGTCCGGAGTAGCTAGGATTACAGGCCAAGCCAGTGCGGCGGCTTGGACTTGTTTCTTCTACACGTCGTTTTCATAACCTAAGGGCACTTTTTCATAAAACAAGACATTGAGCCCAAAGGTATTACAGTTCTCCAATTCTGTATAACCTTCAGCCTTTTAGGAGAGAACAAGAAAGAATATTGCTCGCCTCCTCTCCGGAAATGTACCCTTTCCAGGAATTTCTGAAACCTTTCAGAAGTGGATTCCTTTGTAACGCCTTGACTTAGAAGCGTTAATGAAATCTGCAAAGCATCTCAAACAGGATAGCACTATCACTCATAGAAGCATTGTCCATGAAACGTCTTTCTCTTGTTTATGCTCTCTGAATCCTAAATTTGCAGCGTTCCGCAGCTTTTGTTTTCTAAAGCCTAAGTGTACTCTGCTGGTCGCAAAATGGCCGTTCTCCTTCACCGCCGCCAGGTACCACCAGCTGGGAATTGTTCCTTTTGGGAGCAGGAGGTGGACTTGGCCCAAGAGAAACTGGATGGTATTCCGCAAGGAACATAATTTAGCATTGCCAAAAGCTAATGCAATCATTTTAAAAGTCTCAAAACACTAAAATATGAATTGTGACCTCTTTTATATTAACAGGAGGCAGGCCATATTCTACCTTTTGATTGGTTTAGGCTATTTTGTCGAACAGCCACTTAGAAAACAGATCTAGCATCCTTCATTTGCATGGAGCGTTTACATTTTATTTGAAGCCATTTTAACCCAATTGAAACAAAGGAGACAGAACCCATGATCTCTGAATAAGATAATTCGGAGAATTTCCTTTTTAAAAGTTGCGTTTTTTCAGATGCCTCGCTTATTACAGTAGGAAAGATTAATATCTTTCAAAAAGGGTTTAGTTACAAAAATATTCCAAGCGTGTATACCTGCGTTTCATAACTGACTAGCCGTCAAACCAAGATGCATAGTTTCCAACTTTTATCTTCCAAATTCTTAGAAATTACGTGAAACATTTGAAAGCATGGCTTCTCAATAAAATGAGGCGTAAGAAGCACTACTGCAGAAGATTGACACAATATTTATCTGGGACGCCTACATTATTTGGTTGGCACATTGTTTGAAGGAAAAGGAGAGAAGCTCAGGTTACTTAGCACAGCGCGAACTTATTTGAAAACTACAACAGCACGAGTGGAAATAAGGCCTCATTACCTCACTCTCCACTGTGCTAGGGGGTTATACAGAATAGGATTGTGGAAGGGGATGTCGATTTAATAGCTGTTTATTCTCCCGTTACCTGAGTCTGTGACTGGGAATGTGAGATCGTTTAGCTTATTGATACTCTGAAATGCTTTAACAGCCACAAAAAAGTTAAAAGGTGGTTACCATAAAATCTTATCCCCAGGGTGTGCCGTTTGTTTTCACACTAAGGGGACTTAAACTCCCAGGAGAATGCCTGTCAGGGAACCGATGTCTACCCAGCATTTATTTAACACCTTTCACAGGCTTGTGAGGCCCATAAATCTTTGTTGAATAAAAGGATGAGTTGACCATATCATGACAGGCTGATCGTATGTGCTGAGATGAAACACAGGTTGTAAACCTTAGCACCCATCTGGGGCATGTTGTATGGGTGAAAAGGGTATTGGAAATTCCTGAAGTGCATTGGACTGTGGAAATAAGTTGCAATGGCAGAAAATTTTCCACACTTTTGCAGCGTTAGTGAATACTGGTGGTGTTTACGATTCATTCTTCTTTGACGTGAAAGGTATTCGCCAGACACATCGCTCTAAAACATTGCCAGAAAATGTAAGAGTTGGTGACAACTAGCCCTAACGCGACCTAAAACCGGCGCTTTCCTCTCTCCTTCCCCAATTATTCAAAACACTGAAATTTGCATTTCTTGCAAATCAAAAACGAACATCTCTGGCAACGGACCTTTAATAATTTATAATAAAACTCCTCAGATGCTTATGGGGCTGCATTTACAAACTGCTCCCCCTCAACCCACTCCCTAAAAAAAGAGCTGCTTTTTTAGAGAGAAGCTGCACCCTCTGATGTTACTGGGCGGCAGTCTGCCTACAATTTCCTTCACAACGAAGAAACCCGGGCGGCTTTTTCCGTGTGTTTGCTGTGCGATTAGCGAAGCAAGACCATAGGCACCAGAGACCCCCAACTGCCTTCTGAGAGTGGACAAAACCCTCGGCACTGCGAGGGGCGGGGCACTAACGGGCACCAATCACCGCGCAGTCCCACTCTATAAATACGCCGCGTCGCGGGCGTTTCTTAGCATCCTGCTTTGTCAGGTTTTACCAGTTTACTTGCTGTACTCCGTCACCATGTCCGAAACGGCGCCTCCCGCTTCCGCCGCTTCAGCTGATCCTCAGAAATCGGCAGCTGGCAAGAAGGCCAAGAAACCAGCTAAGGTTGCAGCAGCCACCAGGAAAAAACCCGCGGGCCCCTCTGTGTCGGAGCTGATCGTGGAGGCTGCTGCTTCCTCCAAGGAGCGTGGTGGTGTGTCATTGGCTGCCCTTAAAAAGGCGCTGGCGGCCACCGGCTACGATGTGGGAAAGAATAACAGCCGCATTAAGCTGGGCGTTAAGAGCCTGGTAAGCAAGGGCACATTGGTGCAGACGAAGGGCACCGGCGCCTCAGGTTCCTTCAAGCTCAACAAGAAAGCATCCTCCGTGGAAGCCGAGGGCGGCGCCTCAAAGGTGGCGGCGAAAACGAAGGCAACCGGCGCATCTAGAAAGCTCAAAAAGGTCACGGGGGCTGTTACCAAAAAAAGCGTGAAGACTCCGAAAAAGGCTAAAAAGCCTGCCGCCACAAGAAAGCCCTCGAAGAGTCCCAAAACTGTAAAGCCCAAAAAAGTAACCAAAAGCCCTGCTAAAACCAAGGCTATAAAACCCAAGGCGGCCAAGGCTAAAGTGACGAAGCCAAAGACTGCCAAACCCAAGAAAGCAGCACCCAAGAAAAAGTAAATTCCAGTTGGAAGCTTCTTACATTAACCCAACGGCTCTTTTAAGAGCCACCTACATATTTCAGGAAAAGAGCTGTGGTACACAGGTAGAATCCCCCAGTAAAATGGAAGACGCCCGCAACTGTATTCGTATAATTTGGAGAGTCAAGAGGAACTTTAACATAGGTTGAGTAAAGCTAATTGCTACCAGATGAAGCTATCAAAGATAGCAAGGTGACTTAAAATGCGCCGAATAAAGAAAATCGGTGTTTTACAGTTACCTGGGGCTTTTTCTGTAAGTAGCCCGAAGTCCCGCGTCTCACAAAGCTAATTAGTCATAATCGTGTAAAACCAAGATCGAATCCCCGTCTCAGGCTTGAGGCTTTTTATTATGTGCAAGGTTAAAGTGGGGACATTGACTTCTTGGGTCAATATTGCCAAAGGTAGCTTTTTCTGAAATTGGGAAATGCTTCTTAGTTGGTAAAATTCATGGCTTAACCACTCCTTCGCAGGAGTGTTTAGCGGGCTGTCTGTCCTTGGGGATGACAGTGACCCTGCTGGCGTGGCTGGCGCCCACGTTGGCATCCTCTAAAATCCCCACCAGGGAGGCCTAGTTCGCTTGCTTTCTGCAGCGCCATCATGACAGAACTTTGAAACGCAAAATGCTCTTGCTTTGTGCAGCGTCTTATTATCCTGGGTGCATTTGAGGGCTATCGATTTGGCTTAGGCCTTCGTCAGGACAAAGGATCTTAGTTGCAGTAGAGTTTTACAGCTGAAATCCAAAAGCCCTTGTTCGGTGTCTGTTTATAGAAACAGAAGCGCTCTGATTGGATATTTGAAAATTGCTGTGCTTAACTGGATCGTGTTTCACAGGATTTTCAACCCTGGTGGAGTCCATACATTAAATACTGAAGATCCTTTTCTGAGGACTGCCCCTTTAAGCTTTTGCAATTTTAATTCTGGGGTTCAGATTTTAATAACTGGATTTTTGTTTACATCTGACAAAAACAGTAGTATATGATCAGCCAAGTTTACTCACTTTTCCTTAGTGCAGCTCAATTAGTTCTAAAAGTTTATTTTTGCATGTGAGTTAATAATCAGTTGTATTTTTCAAACGGTCAGTCTTTTTTCATTTGCTTTGCTTAGCTACTTTCACCAACTAAAGTCAGCAATACAGGCACATCACATCCCTGTTCCCCCTCCCTCAAACCAGTATGTAGTAGCTACGTATGTATTCCTTTAAAAAAAAAAAAAAACGGTTTTTTTGCACCTATTTTTGTGAGAAATATATGTTTTTCTTTGAACTAAGTCTTTTACACCCCTATATACATGCATGGTTTTGTTTTTTCAGTTTTGTTTTTTAATGTTTTGACACAGGGTCTCACTCAGTTGTCCAGATTAGACTACAGTGGCATAATCGCAGCTCACTGTAACCTCCAACTCCTGGGCTCAAGCTATCCTGCCACCTCAGCATCCAGAGTAGCTGGAATTGCATGCCCACATTACCAAGCCAGGATAATGTTTTATTTTTTGTGGAGACAGTCTCACCATGTTGCCTAGAAACTGGCCTCAAGCTATCCTCGGCCTCCCAAAGTGTTGACATTATAGTCATTGTGCCTAGCCTGGTATGCATAGTTGGTTTGTCTTGATTAGGATTATTAATTTAAAAAACAAAGGCTGGGTGCAGTGGCTTACACCTATAATCCCCAGCACTTTGGGAAGCCGGGTGGGCAGATTGCTTGAGCTCAGGAGTTCAACACCAGCCTAGGCAACATGGTGAAACCCTGTCTTTATAAAAAAAATACAAAAATTAGCCAGGGCCGGTGGCAGGCACCTGTAGTCCAGCTCCGTGGGAGGCTGAAGTGGGAGGATGATTGGAACCCAGGAAGTAGAGGCTACAGTGAGCAGAGATTGTGCCACTGCACTCAAGCCCAGGTAACAGAGTTAGATCCAGTCTCAAAACAAAAATAATAAAAATTTTTTACAATGATGTTATATACACTTCTGCATGTTGCTTTTCTGTTATCCAGACTTTTCTAAAACTCTGTCATTAAAGAAATCCTTCTTTGGAGTAGCATAAGTTATTCACCCATTTCTTTTTGATAATCATTAATGTTTCCAGTTACCACTTCTGAACTTGGTGCCATTGAATAGAATTCCAGGGTTGAGACTGCTAGGTTTTAGGTTGTATTTTATTATTTTATTTATTTTTTTAGACAGAGTCTCGCTCTGTCCCCCACACTGGAGTACAGTGGCATGACCCTGGCTGCAACCTTTGCCTCCCGAGTTCAAGAGATTCTCATGCCTCCAGCCTCCCAAGTAGCTGGGATTACAGGCACCTGCCACCACACCTGGCTAATTTTTGTATTTTTAGTAGAGATGGGGTTTCACCATGTTGGCCAGGCTGGTCTCAAACTCCTGGCCTCAAGTGATCCACCCACCTTATCCTCCCAAAATGCTGGGATTACAAGTGTGAGCCGTGGCACCAGTCCTGGACTTTGTCTTCTGTTTCATTAGTCCTTCTGTCTACTCAAGCACCAGTACCATGCTGTTCGATGATTCTATATAAAATGCTGTAAAGGCTGTCCACCCTTACTGCTCTTATTTTTTAATTTTAAGGCAATTGTAGATTCCAGCTTTCCAAAGAATTGTGCAATGCTTAAAGCTAGAGATGCCTTGGAAGTCATTTAGTTTTTGTCAGAGAAAATTCTGTAGAGACTCTGTCCTGCTCTCACTGAGTACCATCCCATAACACCCCCCATCAGCTTTAAACGGCAATAATACCTTATGGACAGTATGCTTTTCCTCAAATATATTCTAAGCCATGGTCAATGCAAAAGAGTGAGAAGGAGAGTGGAATAAGTTACTATCTATGAATCCATGGGTGCTCTCTTTAAACTTATTTATCATTCCCTCTTCCAAACTCTCTTGAAGGTCACCTTGCTTTCCTTTCTACATAAGAACTCCTAACTCCAAGGGAGGAAGGTAAGTTATTTATATTCCGTGCTTAGGAAAAGAGAAAATAGGCTTGGTAAATGTCCACTTTCTACGACTATTCTCTGTGTTTCTCATAGGATCATTCACTTATCAGTTGGCTCTTGAGAGAGAATGCAAGGTTCAAGGATACGAACCTAAATCCAGCCTGTATAGACCTTACGATTTTCTACTTCTCTAAAATATGGCCTGGAGACATGGTGAAAGTGACACATAAACATGCAGTATCTCATGTCCCTCCATGGAGAGAAGGTGCACCATGGGAAATAGCAGTAGGTCAATGACAGTAACAACTCCCTGGTGGCTTAATTTTATTCTTTTATTTATAAAACTATTGGTACACTACATAGTCCTTAACTGTGCCACAAAGAGTCATTATTTTAATTTCATTAATTTCTTATTTCAATATTGATAAATGAAGAAAAATATGAGTAGCAGGTAAGCAGTCTCTAGAACTATATATAAAGCAAACTGAAGATTTTAAATTGATTCTGAATGCTTAAAATCCTTCTCATTGAAAAAAATTTTCTCATTAGAAGATTGCAACATTCTTTAAACTGAGAAGCATAATATATAAACAGCAAATCATAGCAAAACAAAAATACAAAGCTCAATAAATGAATGCAAAATGAACACCATAATAATTGCCACACAAGTAAAAAAACAGAAAATCAGCCAGCCCTCCCAGAGCCACCTCATGCTTGCTTCCTGTCGCAGATGACTCCATCTACCCTAAACATAACCCCTATTTTGATGTCTAATGCTGTAATTTAGTGTGCCTGTTTTTGAAACATATAAAATGGAAATAAAACACAGGTACTCCTTTGTACCTGGTATCTTTCACCCAAAACATTAAGTTTGAACAGATTAATCTGTGTTGCTGTGTATAACTTTAATTCATTTTTATTTTTATGTAATATTTCTTTTCATCATTGTGCCACAGTTTAGGTATCTACTCCATTGTTGATGCATATTTGTTTCCCTTTTTCAGCTAACATAAACAATACTGTGAATATTCCTGTGTATGTGTCTTGGTATATACAGGAATACATATCTATTGTTTGTATACCTAGGAGAGGAATTGTTGGGCCAAATGCTAAACTCTTTCTGAAAGTGGTGATATAGGTTTACATACAATGAAATGAAAATTAAAACCACAGTGATAAACAAACATGGATGAACCTCACAAACCTCATGTTGAGTGTAGTCTAGCTGGGAATTCCTGTTCTTCCATATACTTCTCAACACTTTTTTTCCAATTAAAATTTGTAGTCTTTTAAAAATGTTATCCATTGTGGCAGATGTGCGGCAGTAGCTCATTATGGTTTTATTTTATATCTTTTGCCCATTTTTTTCTTAATTAGATTGTATATCCGTCTGCTTGGGCTGCCATAACAAATATACCAGACTAGGTAGCTTAAACAAAAGAAATATATTATCTCACAGTTCTAGATGCCAGGCCAAAAATCCTAAATCGAAGTGCCAAGAGATTCAGTTTCTAGTGAGGCTCTCTTGATCTGAAAATAGTTGCTGTCTTAGACTGATGCTAAATAGAATACGAGACCAAGTAATTTATAAAGAAAGAGATTTATTTCTTAAATTTCTGGAGGTTGTAAAACTCATGGTCAAGGGGCCCACCTCTGGCAAAGGCTTTCTTGCTGTGTTATCTCATGGCAGATGAGAGATGTCATCTCACATTCAAACCATAGCAGTCGCCTTACGTGTCCTCCTGTGACCTCTTCGTATGCCCATAAAATGATCTCATGTCTCTTCCTTCACTTATAAGGATACCAGATTGATCAGATTACTAATCCATTCTTATAACCTCATTTAACCTTAATTATCTTCATAAAGGTCCTATCTCCAAATACAGTCACATTGGGTGTTAGAGTTTCAACATCAATTTTGGGAGGACACAATTCAGTCCATAACAGACTGTGTTTTTTCTTGCTGGTTTAACAAAGCTGTGTTTTGTTTTGTCTTGTTTTTTGAGATGGAGTCTTGCTGTGTCACCCAGACTGGAGTGCAGTGGCGCTGTCTCCCCTTACTGCAACCTCTGCCTCCTGGGTTCAAGCAATTCTCCTCCTCTCAAGTAACTGGGATTACAGGCATGTGCTACCACGCCCTGCTAATTTGTGTATTTTTGGTAGAGACAGGGTTTGACCACGTTGGCCAGGCTGCTCTCGAACTCTGACCTCAGGCGATCCGCCCACCTCGGCCTCCCAAAGTGCTGGGATTACAGGTGTGAGCCACAGAACCTGGCCTGTCTTTTCTTTTTTAAATTTTGGGCACAATCCCTTTGTCCATTTTATGTGTTGCCAGTATTTCCTCTTACTCTATAACATGTCTTCACTCTGTCATTGAGGCTGGAGTGCAGTGGCACAATCATGGCTCACTGCAGCTTCCACCTCCCAGGATCAAGCGATCCTCCCACCTCATCCTCCCAGGTAGCTGGGACTACATGTGCAGGCCACCATGCCCAGCTAATCTTTGTATTTTTTTGTAGAGATGGTGCTGTTGCCCAAGCTGATCTTGAACGCCTGGGCTAAGCAATCCACTGACCCTGGCCTCCCAAAGTGCTGGGACTACAGATGTGAGCCACCACTGCACCCAGCCAAAGGTATCTAATGATGCATCAAAGTTGTTGATTTAATGTATTCAAATTAATCACACTGCCCTTTTATGCTCGAGCCTTTTTTTTACTTTCAAGGAACTCTAACCCCTGTTGACTGCTTTTCCTT